TTTTTAAAATGTCTGATGTATTTCCCATGCTTGAGTTTGGAACTTCAGGTCTGCTTTTTTGTGCTGATCACTTGGTACCACACCGATCTTTGCCAAGATGGGCAGCCCTGTTCCTGGGGCTCGCCTGGTGACTTTGGCCCCCTTTTGAAGGCTGTGTCCTTTCTGGTGTGAAAAACTATTTTTGATGTGTGTTGGTAATAGTACTGGGGAAAAATAATGCTGTCTTCTAAAATGAAGATGATGCTCACTGTGTTCCAGCTAACATTTTTTGCTCGTTAAGGCTTTTCATAACATACTTTGGGCTCTGATCAATTAGAGTATATATTTCACTTGTTCTTCTTCCTTCTACGTGGAGTTGAAATCTTTCGTGCCTTCTGCCCTGGTTCTTCTCTTCTCCTGTTACCTTCCTGCAGATGTGCCAGCACAGATTGCGGTGATTTCTGACAGACTCGCGAGCATCTTGGGTCACAGCGATGATGAGAACGAAGCTGCTACTTTGAATTCTCCAATCCAAGTTGATGTTTCTGCCCCCAGGCTGGAACCCTGCCATCAGAGTGTGGGTACCATCTGGTTTAGGGTGAGGAATGAGTGGGGTTGAGTAGGTAAAAATGCATCTGGGTAGTACGTGTGAAAGGTTGCTTTGTCTGTGGAGAACAGGAAATACCCTTCCCCTTTTTTCTACCTTGTGCACATATGTTTTTAACCTCCTGGAAATTGTTGGGTGTCTGGTGGTGAGATCTAGAGATATATTCTATTAGAGCAATCCTGTGATGAGCTAGGCTTTCTTCACCAGGCTTGTCTAGATATTTGTTGTGTGCTGGGATCATTCCTGGGCTGTTATGGGCTTAACTTTCCATCTCTTAATCCCAGTGGTTCTGTACAACTTGCAGTGAATGTCATTAACCAATTTGTCTCTTTGTTTTAATGTCGGGAAACAGTATATAGGCAGCACAAAACTAGATCTAGATACCCAGCCTGACACGTAGGAATTAGCAGTGTGTCTTTTATTCCAGGTTGTGGATCTTCTGCTGACATCATTCTGCCAAAACTTAATAGCTGCTTCCTATTTTAACCCTCCGGACAGGTAAGATGCGAGTGAAAGAGTAGGGAAATCGGAACTGGTTAATATGCTAGAATTCCAACACTTGTCTAGGGGCGAGGAGGGACTTCTGGTTGTTCATACCCACTGTGCCAGGCTGGCAATTGCAGGCTGCTTTATTTTGAGTTTCTCTAATCTACGAACTAATGCGCTTTGATGTATATGTGTAAATAAAACATGTTTCTCCTCTGTTGTTACTGATCTCTTCAGAAAAAGGTGGCATTTGGCTCTGCTTTGTGCTCTGTGACAACGTATGAAAACTTTCCCACAAATACTACGTGCTCAGGCTGGTGTTTTCAGCTCAATGGTGGGGGATGGGGAATGAAGCAAACTCTTTTTGTCCAGGAATTACTTCCTGGCTGACACTAAAGATCAGGAGAGGACAATGCTTGTCTTTTGACAGTGAGCACTGATGTATCTTCTGGGTGTCTTTTTGGCACCTTCAGTGCTTTTGCAGATCCAGGCAGCTCAGCCTTCATCCCTAATGCCATATCTAATATGAAATGAGTGAGGCATAAAGCCTAACACTGTAGGCACAGGAAGAGCAGCATGATATACCTTCTCTGTACCTCCCATCCCTCTTCTCCCTGGAAGTGACTCAGTTTGATTCGCTTTGTTGGAAAACAACAATGTACTGACAAGCTGCCTGTGATCCCAGCTGCTGACAATATGGAACTAGGTGGCTGTCTCTCTGGAGTGCAGCATGCTTTGGCAACCAGTGCGTCTTCCCCTCTCTTTTACGCTGTTTTGCCCTGGAGCAGATGAATCTGTATTGAAAACCTGTGCTGAAAAGTAGCCGCGATAAACAAGAGCGTCCCAGGAAATTGTTTCTAAACCTAACTCCTCGTCAGATCTCCTCTGAGGATGTTTTCTTCTGTCAGCTGGGTGGGAAAGTCCCTCCCTCCCTCCCTTCCTCTGTTTTGCAACAGGACCTTGTCATATTAATTCCTTTTTGCTCTTGCTTTGTTTTTTGATCCCATTTATTGCTCTGCCTCTGTTTACTTTGTGCTCTCTGTCTGAAAAAAGCTGACTGTGCCCCAGGCACTTCCTCCTCCTTGTCATCTCAGAACACCTCTTTGACTGTGTATTATCAAGTATTTGAGGCAGGGCAATGGTTGAGTTCACGTCTTTGTAGGGTCCTCTGTTCAGATACTCCAAAAGTGACACTTCCTTTGAGCCTATAAACGGAATGATAATTGTCCTGTATTTACAGACAAGTATGGCTCAGGTTCAGTGTGTTTAAGCATTTTTAAATACCTCTTCCTGTATTGGGGCTAAAAAGAAGCAGTAAAATGAGCAGTGGTTTTTACCTTCTGCAGGCAGGGACAATGTCTCTCCTTGTTTGTGAAGATGATGTGTGGATACAGGAATCTCTTACCTGCGCTTCTGGGCAGGCTCTGCCAGCTTATTTATCATCAGGTTAGTCTTCCAACCAAGAATCATATGGTTATAGTGTGCTAAAGGCTATCCTACCTCCATTTCCTGAGCTGTGGGGCATGTACCTGTCTGGACTGCACTACGGAGAGACTTCACTGGCTTTCAAGCTTCCAAAAAAATTCTCATTTCAGTCAAGTAGTATGGACTTGCTCTTAGGAATGTGAGCTGAATGTTTTCCTACAGAAATACTACTGTAGAAGGTTAATGCATTCTGAGATATGTTTTAACAGAAGCTAAAATAAGCAAGTTTGTGAACAGAGCCACAAGAAAAATAGTAGAATGTTTAATTCCTAAGCTTCCACATTGAATAATTCAGTTGTACACCCCTTTTAAAAATAAAAGACCCCCAAATCTGGGGTGCAGCAGTGTATAGCTTTCTTCTAAAGAACTGTTGGTTTTAATTCCTTTACCCCGTGATATTGCAAGGGTGAAATTAAAAGGCTGATAGACTAGATTAGCTGTCATAGAAGCTAAAAAGCCTTGAGAGTCTCAAATACTGCTGGGCTCAATTTACAGCTAGTTGCTTCAAGTTACTGTGTTACAGAAAGAAACATAGGAATTTTGTTGCAGGTTGACCAAAGATAGCTGCACAATTTCAAGGAAGGAAGAACATGTTTAATGCAACTGGTGCTTCTCATCTGCTAAATTGATATTGCTGCACTAATTAGTCAATGGGCAGAAGCAATGTTCTGCTACTTGATTAATTCAGAGGTTTTTCTGAGAAAGGTTGTTTTGTTACAAATGAAATGTCTCACTCTCTTCGGTTCTTTACTTATGTTTGGCTTCCAGGGTCCTTCCCTGAATGATGCTCATATTTTAGGACTAGCAGCTTTTGTGATCCACTTAAGTGAATCCAGAGCTTTAATTCCTGAAGTGGAAGCCAATTTTGGGATTTCTCAGCCTGTGCCTGACAAGGTCCTTTCTGTTTCTGAGTACTGGAACTGCTTGCTAGTGTGCAGGACGGAAGAGTCGTTTGCCTTCTGCTTGAGGTGAGATCATGCATCCACCATGTCCTTGCTTCTCCAAGCGATGGGTTTAGATTTGCCGCAGGAGAGGTGCTGGTAAAGCTCCTGTGTTCCTGCAGAGGATTTCCACAGCATATGTAGGTGTTTCTGCTGCACAGAGGCCCTACACAGAGAAATAGGCTGATGGCGGTCCCGTGTGAAATAGCATCCTGATGATCGTACCGCCTGCTGGAGAAAGGGCTAACTGGATACTGTCAAAGGTTTTAGTTTAGTCTCTGGTTCTGAAATTTGTGCCGTTAAGGTGCTTGGGGTTGGGAGCACATAAATAGAAGTGGTCCTAAAAGCAAATAGATTTGAGACATGTTGGTTAAAAGCATTTTTAACACTCAGTCTTTGTTTTGACGTTGGACGTTCATGAGTGGGAAAAGATATGATTGAATCAACCAGATAACGGAGTTCTTTCTTTTTCTCTACCAGGTTCTGCACTGCAGCAGCATCTTATCTTATGTGCAAGTTTTCATCCTATTCTCGTCAAGATTTGTGTGCCTTGCTTCCTCCTAGCCTTGTTAAAAAGGTAAAAGGAAAAAAGTTTTGCTGTTACTTATGAGAAAGATCAGTCTCAGTTCCACTTCCCACTGCAGACTCCTGTGCAGCTACAACTTGTACAAAGAAAACTATATAAAAATGCATCTTTGTACCTTCCCATCTTACCATCTTGTGTATTCACAAGATGGCAGCTTCACACAACCAGAGGTTGCACTGGGCCTTTTTTTGTGATGGAAATGTGCAAGGGTTTTATGCCTTTGTTTTAGCTGCAGTACATCGTGCCACGGCTGTGCTTGGAAGCTCGGGGAATCCTGTGTGAGGAGGCTAAAACTGACCTAATCTGGAGTTCCCTGTCATGCCCCTCTCTGAACTACAAAAGACCCAGCCTCTGTTTATGGAAGCAAGCACGCTTTCAAGAGCTCTTGAAGGAAAAAGCGTTCCAGGTATAAATCTTTTCCATGACTTAAGATCACACTGTAATTCTCACTTTTCAGATCTGGTCTTTGCAATTTCCTTATTGGCGAAAAAACGCTTCTTGTAAAAACTTAATGCCTGAAAAGTTGGTCTGACAGCTGAAGATCATGTGCGCTAGGTTATGGCTCAATGTTATTTGTAGACTTCGATGGTGATGATAAGGCAGAAATAGAAAACTAGAGGTAAAGCTTTTGTGTCCTGCTTAGTGCAAAAGCAGAAAGCTTGACAAGATATACCATATTGGTAAGAAAATGATCAGGAACTGTAGAGAAAGTCCATAACCTTAGCTTCCTACTGTGTACTGTCTATGAAGTGATGGTGAGTCAAACAACTGAAAATACTTGCTTGCTTTTCTTGGTGCTTTGTCTAAATGTCAACATTCTCCTCAACCACCTGTGTATCTCGGGTTGTTTGGCTCTGCCTTGCTATGAAGCAGGTTAATATCTCGGCTATTCTCTTTATATCATCCTTGCAATGTATCTGATTTGACAGGATTTCTTTTTTTAACCTAGTTCATACAAAACCAGTTTGTCTTTGTGCAGAGGAGTTTGTCTTGTTACTAGAATGACTCCTTGTGCTTGGCTAGCTTGATGTACAAGGCTAAAATACCTTTGCATTATAACCTTTCTTTGATGCTTATACCAGTCTGTCTGACTATGGTGCTTTGTTCATTTTAGCATTTATTTCTAATAACATACATTCATTCTGGTATCTAGACTTTAAGAAGACGAGCATGTTTGGAAATGTCAAAGGGGTGGGGGGGTGTGTGGGTATGTGTGAGAGGTGCTTTATAGGCTTGTTTTCAGTAAATTTTTGAATGCCAGTGGGGTTTTAGTTTAGATTTCTTGCAGGGGAGACAGCACAGGAACTTCCTTGGGTTGATGTGTCCTGTTTCATATCTCTTAATCTGCATGGGATTGTGTCTGGGTGTGGGTGAAGGTGGGTTTTATGTTGAGAAGAAGGTGGCTGTTACCTGCCTTGCTGGTCTGCCCTCTTACCTACATCGGTGCTTTTCCCAGTTGTCTTTCAGGGAGTGGCTGCTGTTGGAGCTGGAAGTGTACCCTGAAAAGGATATTCTCTCTGCTTCGGAAAGGTAAGTGCAGAAGGGCTCTGTTGAAAAGGGAATAGTTCAAGAGTCTTTCCCACCCAAATTAGGGAAAAAGCACTGAAGATCAGGAAGTAAATAAACAAGCTGCTGTGGGACATGAATGCCTGTTGACTACTACGGTTTGTCCAGAGTTCAAGCAATGCTAGAATGAGGCATGTGTTTTAACTTGAGGAAGTTCACCAAGGTAACCTCTGGTCTGCATGTGCAGTCCTTCCAAAAAACTTTTCACAAAACCTGCCCATTTCTGGAAGAGATGGCTGACATCAGGACATGTGGTGTCTGGTGGATGACTCTTTTTATATCTGTACTTTATGTGGGTGCTTTTATCTGTCATTCCATTTGGTGCATGAACTTCCTTTTTACATCAGCGGAAGGATACCATTAAAATGATGTGATTTCCTATCTTCTTTTCAATATGGCAGACAGGATTTCCATTATTGGGCCATCTATCAATGGTATCTTCCTGCACCTTCTGCCTCTGGTGGCTGCGATGGAGACCTGGAGAAGGCATGTGGCATTATTATCAATACCATTCTGGATTCCTCACAAAGGTATTCTGAATCGTGACTTGCATTTCTGCAGAAGCAATGGTTCTGCTAATGACCTTGCAAGCTAGGAGCTGTGAGCTTGTGCCTTACACGGGGCTGTGTTTTCTTGAATGGAAGTGATTCCCTTCTCACAGGTCTGGCTGGCAGTGAAAGGTGGGAGGTGGCTCTGCATGACTCAAGAGTCTTTGCATAAGAATCTTGCTTTAGGTGACAGAGGTCTGGGGTTGCAGTCACAGATAGTCCCTAGTCTGTCTGTCTTTTTTAAGTTGAATTTGTATTCAGATTTGTTTGGCCAGACAAGCATTAATGCCCCTGAGGAAGTGGCTGAAGCTAGAAAATAAGGAGGGAGGGTTAGAGGAGCGTTGCTGTCTCACCTACAGCTTATTTAAGGAACATTAATGTTAGAGCTTTGCGTTCATCTGAAGCCATTTGACTTTAATTGAATTGTGTTATCCTCCTGGGCTAACAGGGTTAGTTACCCGGTGTGTCTCTTAATTTCAGGTTGGACCTGGGTAGCTATGGCCAATCAAAGACGTCAGTCAATCCTGATATTCTCTGCAAGCTGCAGGTGATTTCAGACTTTGATGTGTATCTGTATGTTCAATCCTTGAATTTGACCCACCAAAGTATTTTCTAATACCTCTGTGTATGTAAGGCTGACATTCGGCTCTCAGATGTGAGCAATGGCATGGAAATTGAGAGAGAGTATTTTTCGTATTGATCTCACTGTATTATTTTAGAGAAACATAGAGGGTTTGAATGCAAACTAGTGTGTAGCCCTGACAAACACTGTTTTGCCGCATCCCCCCGCCCCCGTTTAGGAGATGGTACTGGAGCTGGGGTGTAGGCGAAAGCTGCTTTCTGGCTCCTTGGATGCCCAGAGACACTTCGTGTTTGAGATTCTCCAGGAAAGATTGAAAGACAGAAAACATGGCTCTGCTTTGGGTGAGCAGTTATGGAGGCAGCAGGAGCTGCTGCTGCACAGAAGGTAAGTGCAGATCTGAACGGCTGGGAATACCTCGAACAAAACTGCTGTTCAAAGCAATTATGGTGTGTATCCTCCCCTGTGATTCCACAGCAAGTGAAAATGACACTATATGTCATGGTAACAATTGTGCAAGAGATATTTATTCCCTGGTACCCACAGGACTTAGCTGCGTTTCAGTGTGCCATCTTGGGCTATGAGTTACCCCTGCCAGTAGACTGGATTTCAAAGACCACACATCTTCATGGACTCTGTTTACAGCCAGCAACACTCTTAATGCCACCACTTGTGTTAACCACTGTTAAATTACTCTATTTGCTGCTGTAATCTAGGTGTCCGTTTCCATTTGTGAGCCATTGATAGCATCTTTGAAAGTGATCTGTGTATATCTCATTGAAATGCAGGTTCTTTTCTGGGCAACTGGAAAAATTCCTTGTGCAGTTTCTGTCAACATGTTTGAGATCTCTCATGTTTGACATACTCTCGAAGTCGCCTGAATATCAAAGGCACGTGCCCTGAGAGTGTGGAGTCTGATTCTCTTCTTGATGGTAACCTCAATTTTGTTTTTATTCTTCCCTGCCTAAGGATTCTGGTAGGGCTCCCTGCATCCGCTCTGATCTTGACTTGTCGAAAAGGAAAGAAAACAATGTTGGACTGTGAAGACTTTTTTCGTTTTGTGAACTCGGAGCTGGTATGTGGTGTTAGCCAAATGATAATTTCTTGTTGGTAAATGCTCTACATAAAGACCTTAAACTTTATTTTAGAACAGGAGTTAAAATACAGCCAAACTTGAGACAAACTTAGCTTATGTCAGAATGTACGGAGGTTCAACTCATTATGCTTGAGACTTTCCAGCCCCTACCTCTGCAGAGGTCCCCTTGGCACTGTCCACTGTAGGATGACTTTTTGGTTCATTCATTTGGAATTGTGGTGGCATTTTTATGCTATTGAGAGAGAATCCTTGGGAAATAGTGTAGACAAATCTGGGGTGGAGGCAGCCAGCATGTCAGTGGCTGGAGCTGGGTGTCCACAGTCCAGGGGTAAAACCACCAGCGGGTGATCACAGAGTAGCCTGGTAGTGGCTTGGTCAGTTCTCGAGCAGTAGGAGTGTTCTTTCCAGTTGTGTTGTTTGTGACAACGTATGTCTCTGGTGCGCACACATGTGCAGCAGCCTTGGGGATGCTCTCTCTTGTGTGGATACGTCATCCTTCTGTGCCGCCTGCTCTTCATCTGTTGACAGTGCATTAGAGAGAAACCTGCAATGTTCCCATGGAGGCCTAGAAGTAAGGGACTGAGCATGAGCTCTTCTACAATTTTTCTGACATGCCAGGGCGTTAAACTAATTTGCTGTGTGTAGAGTGAGATCCTGCTCATCCTCCTGTGTTACCTATGCTAGAGAAACATTCAGAAACATCCCTGCAGCTTCCTGGCAGCAGATCTGTTGACGTGCAGGTCCCTCAGAGCACTGTTCTGTGCTCTGAGGATAGCTACCGTTTCTAATTATTCATCCTGACTGATGGCCTTTTCAAGCCCTCCTGCACTGTCATATTAGGCACAGCCAGAAACCTCTATTCATTCCAAGACTGTTAATCAAACTGCCTCTGCCGTCCACAACGTGTGGTAAGCAGGGCTGTCTGATTTGCTTTCTAGTACTGGGACTGTAAAGCACTAGCGAGTCAATGGTCTTGCTTTATATAGAAATGAAGTTTCTGCATTCTGAGCTGACACTCAGGAACTCACAGGGTGATTTTGTTATCAGAGTCCTGTTGTGCCAGACACCCAAAACATTTAAAGAAAATCATAATTCAAAAGGGAAGGAATGATTTTTTTTTTTTTTTCTCCTTGTCTTCCCACAGAAAAACGTCTGTTCCAGAGGGTATGCGCTCTCCTACGACATCACTGCTCACTTCTTCAGGGTAACTGCTAGCCGGAGTAGACATTTCTTTACCAGGATACCTGACTATGTGCTATTCTTAGCGATGAGATGTGCTATTTGTACCCTTGTTTTGAGACTTGTTGGTGTAAATTCCAAAAAGAGCAGCAGTTATCTAGAAAAGTGAAGAGAAGTAGCAGGAGGAAGTAGTGGTAGAGGTTAATTTTGATAAAATATGGCAAAGCTGTTGGGGGAAGGAGAAGCTGTTGGGCACACGTTTCTTTTGCTGGGCCATGCTGACCCCTACAGTTACCTTTGATTAGTTTATACATGGCTTGGTGAGGTACTTCAAAGCAGCAAAGACATATGTGTGTAGTCATCTTGTAATTTATCCTCTTCCAGGGCCTGCTTAATGCCAGCTTGGACTGTGAGGAATCGGCAGAAGAAGGGGTCAATGGTGTTCTAACAGCATGTCAAACCAAGTGTCCCATTGTGCTTTTCTCTGCAGCGGTAACCATTCATATTTTATCTTAAGAGTGCTAGATGAAAATTCAATATCGGTTCAGAGCGTTTGTTTTAAACGTCATTTAATGTAAATGGTGAAGTGTGGCAGCAGTCATTCTTAACACCTTTGGAAAATTGCAGAGTGTTTTAGTACCTTTGGTATCCCTGATTCCAGCTCTGGGCACGCAGCCTTGTTTTTGGAGTGTCACTGCGGAAATGGAACAGAGGCTGTTTAAGAGTGAGAAGCTGAGACTTGTCTTGGTTTCAGATGCACTATAGAGGGACTGGGAGTTACATGCCAAGCAACCAAAAAGTCCATAAAGCACAGATTTTTTTTCTCTCCCCTCTCGTAACTCTTCATGCACTGTTTTACATGGGGATACCTGTTTTTATTGCATGTGGTAAGCATGTACATCACCTTTGTGGAACAGTTCCTTTATTATGACTGGTCCTGCTAGAGGAGTTTCAGCGCACCGTGGAATGAACACGGTCACAAATGACCCTCTTTGCGTTTCCAGGATGTGAAACTTAAAATCATAGAATCATTTAGGTTGGAAAAGACCTTTAAGATCATTGAGTCCGACCATAAACCTAACGTTGCCAAGTCCCCCACTAAACCGTGTCCCTAAGTGCCACATCTACACGTCTTTTAAATACTTCCAGGGATGGTGACTCCACCACT